GCTGGGATTACAGGCACGCGCCACCACGCCCAGCTAACCTTTGTACTTTTAGTAGAGACGGGCTTTCACCATGTTGACCAGGATGGTCTCGAACTCTTGACCTCGTGATCCACCTGCCTTGGCCTCCCAAAGTGCTGGGATTACAGGCATGAGCCACCGCACCCGGCCCACTTTTTCATTTTCATTCTGGTGGACTCCAATTCTGTTCTCAACCCACAGCACACACAGAATAGAATGCCAGTGAGTAAATGTAGCTTAAACAATGACTTTATCATCACAAAAACCAGTACGGTTAGGTGGAACTGGACTGGACTGGGCAGCTTGGAAGGTGAAAAATTTATTGCCAACATTATAAGACAATCACTAATACCCATGAATTAAGGAAATCTTTACAAGCTACCGGCTCAAGCCAGCCTGTATCCTCTGTCCAAAGTTAAATAATGCCTACACCCAAACCAGCCAGGGAAATGGGAATGAGGCTCCATCCAAAGGGATCAGATGACTCAATACTCCAGATAAAGGTAGAGAGCACAGCTATCTTCCCTCGCAAAGTATTTTAAGGTGATACGCACTGTGATATATACTAGCTAATAGTGGATAGAAGTCTTCCGTAGTGTACACTTTCAGTGACTTAACAGTGGAAGGATCCCAGGCAGTTCGGAAAGTCCAAGGTAATTCACAAAAGCTTCTGATATACCAGACAATTACAGCAAATCTCCCTTGCGTGGATGTTTAGATGTAAGATTCCATTTCTGGCTGAGGTCCCCCTCACAAGTGCTGATATCCACAGCTCTGCTGCGTTATTTCATCTGCCTGCATGCATTCCTGAAGTCTTTCTCCAGGATGGTTTATTGGCGCCGAAAAAGGTTAATAGCTGAAAACTTTCCAACATTCACTGCATTCATGACACCCTTCTGTGTGTATAGTTTTAAGATTTAGAAGTTTTTCAGGCCGGGCGCGGTGGCTCAAGCCTGTAATCCCAGCACTTTGGGAGGCCGAGGCGGGTGGATCACGAGGTCAAGAGATCGAGACCATCCTGGTCAACATGGTGAAACCCCGTCTCTACTAAAAATACAAAAAAAATTAGCTGGGCGTGGTGGTGCGCCCCTATAATCCCAGCTACTCGGGAGGCTGAGGCAGGAGAATTGCCTGAACCCAGGAGGCGGAGGTAGTGATGAGCCGAGATTGCGCCATTGTACTCCAGCCTGAGTAACAAGAGCGAAACTCCGTCTCAAAAAAAAAAAAGTTTTTCAGATATTGGGACATGACATAATGACAGTTGAAAGGTGGAGCATAGTGTAATTTACAACCCAGAACCAGAGGACATGACATGGGGCTGCACCAGAGTTGGAAAGGAACAGTTTAATAGAGTAAACTGGAGTTGTAGGAGGCAGCTTCTGTGTGGCCAGTAGATTAGGCTTAGCTAAGTTTTCTGGGGTTTCTATATATTGGCCAATTTTAGTAATTTTGCATGTTCCGAGGCATAGGAGTTGTCCCTAGATGTCTGATACCAGCTCCTGGGGTGACTGGGGCTGATATCTATTGAATCGAGTTAGAGAGTGTGTAAAGGACAGTGGTTGGCAGTGTACTTTATCTGCTGTTCCAAATGCAGCCCTGTCAAGCCTCTAGCAAGGGCCTCAACAAAGGGCAGAAAACTTACTATTTTTGAGACGGAGTTTCACTCTGTCACCCAGGCTGGAGTGCAATGGCGCGATCCTGGCTCACTGCAACCTCTCCCTCCCCGGTTCAAGGGATTCTCCTGCCTCAGCCTCTCATGTAGCTGGGACTACAGGCATGCGTGACACACCCAGCTAATTTTGCATTTATAGTAGAGACAGGGTTTCGCCATGTTGGTCAGGCTGTCTCGCACTCCTGACCTCAGATGATCTGCCCGCCTCGGCCTCCCAAAGGGCTGAGATTATGGGCATGAGCCCCCACCTCTGGCCCATTATTCTCTTAAAAGAATTATGTATCGAAACACTGTGGTACTAGCACAAAGGCATACATACAGTGGAATTAAGAGGCCAGAAAGAAGTCCTCACATTTACGCTCAGATTGTTGACAAGAGTGCGAAAACTTATTAAGGAGTCTTTTCAGTAAATAATTTTCAGAAATCTAGATATCTGCATGTGAAAAATAAAGTTGAACTCTCGCCTTCCTCCATTTACTAAAACGAACTTAAACGCTCAGACTTAAAAGGACAACTTGAAACTATAAAACTCTTAGAAAATAACAGGAAATTATATTACTGAGAATAGCATGGGAAAAAAAAGAAAAGAATAAAACAAACAAAAAGAAAATAACAGGAAAAAGTTTTCATGACACTGGACTTAGCAATAATTTCTTGGCTATAACACCAAAAGCATAAGAAACAAACATAACATATATTGGACTCCGCTGAAATTTGAAAACTCCAGGGCAAAATAAAAGACATTATGGACAGAGTGAAAAGGAAACAGACTGAATGGGAGACAGTAATTGAAAAACAAGTATCTGAAAGGGGTTAATATTTAGAATATGTATATAGAGTATGTACATATAAAATACAGACATGTCAACCAGTCAACAAAGTATATATACTTCACATCATGTTGTGTACAATGAAAGCATACAATCTTATCTGCCAATTTACAAAAATGTTTTAATAAGCAAAGACATTGAATAGACATTTCTCCAAAGAACATATACAATTAGTCAACAAGCAAATGAAAAGATGCTAAACATAAATACTGAAATGCAAACCAAAAACCATAATAAAATAACATCTACACCCATTAGTATAGCTATGATTTAAAAAAACAAAGTGGGCCAGGTGTGGTAGCTCATGACTGTAATTCCAATACTTTAGGTGGATCATTAGCTCAGGAGATCAAGACCATCCTGGCTAACGCAGTGAAAACCCGTCTGTACTAAAAATACAAAAAATTAGCCAGACGTGGTGGCACATGCCTGTAGTCCCAGCTACTTGGGAGGCTGAGGCAGGAGAATCACTTGAACCTGGGAGGTGGAGGTTGCAGTGAGCCGAGATTGCGCCATTGCACTCCAGCCTGGCAACAAGTGAGTCTCCGTCTCAAAAAAAAAAAAAAAAGTGTTGGCAATAATGTGAAAAACTGGAACCCCTGCACTGGTGGGAATGTAAAATGGTACAGCTGCTATGGAAAATAGTTCCCCCCAAAACTTAAAATAGAATTAACAGGAAGCACCATTTCCACTTCTGGGTATATGCCCAGAAAGAATGTAAAGCACGGCCTCGGGAGGTATTTCAATATTCATGGTCACAGCAGCATTGACAACAGCAGAAGAGTGGAAGTCACTCAAATGTGCACCCATCAAGGAATACAGAAAAAGTCGCATATTCGTATACCACAGTCACGTGCCACACATTTCTGTTTACCGCGGACCACGTGTATAACAGTAATCCCATATTATAAGAGAGCCAAAAGATTCCTATCACTAAGTGACTAACTCCTATCACAAAATGGCACTGTAACTCAATGCCATTACTTAAGTGTGTGCGGTGACACTGGTGCAAACAGACCTACTGTGCTGCCGGTCATATGAAAAGACAGCACATAAAGTTATGTGCAGTACAAAATACTTGGTAATAAATGACTGCTACTAGTTCATGTATTTACTGCACTTTGTGTCACTAGAGTGTTCACTCTCCAAATGTGTGTGTGTGTGTGTGTGTATATATATATAAAGTTAACTGTATGGACAGGCATGGTGGCTAAAGCCTGTAATCCTAGCACTTTGGGAGGCCAAGGCAGACAGGATGAGGCCAGGTGTTCAAGACCAGCCTGGGCAACACAGCAAGACCCCATCTCTACTAAAAAAAAAAACAAAAATTAGCTGAGTATGGTGGCACTCCTGTAGTTCCAGCTATTCAGGAGGCTTGAGGTAAAGAGGTTAAGGCTGCAGTGAGCTGTGACTATGCCATGAACTCCAGGCTGGGTGACAGACCTGGTCTCTGAAAAAAATAGTAAGAATAGCCTGAGGTGGCCAGGAGCTGTGACTCATGCCTGGAATCCCAGCACTTTGGGAGGCCAGGGCAGGCAGATCACAGAGGTCAGGAGTTTAAGACCAGCCTGACCAACATGGAGAAACCCTGAATCCACTAAAAATACAAAAATTAGCTATATGTGGTGGCACGTGCCTGTAATCCCAACTATTTGGGAGGTTGAGGCAGAAGAATTGCTTGAACCCAGGAGGCAGAGTTTGCAGTGAGCCGAGATCGTGCCACTACACTCCAGCCTGGGCAACAGAGCAAGACTCTGGCTCAAAATAAAAGAAATAGCCTAAGGCAGGCTTCAGAAAATATTCCAGGATACACTGTTATCATAGAAGATAAGAAGGCCATGTTATTGACCCGGAAAACCTCCTAGTGGGACAAGATGTGGAGGTAAAAGACAGTGTTATTAATGATCCTGACCTGGCGTAGGCCTTGACTATGTGTCTTAGTTTAAAAAAAAATTAAGAAGTTAAAAAAATTAAATAGAAAAAGCTTATAGAGGAATATAAAGGAGTATTTCTATACAGGCTGTATGTGTTTGTGTGTGTGTGTTTTTTTTTTTTGAGACGGAGTTTCACTCTTGTTACCCAGGCTGGAGTACAATGGCGCGATCTCAGCTCACCGCAACCTCCGCCTCCCGGGTTCAGGCAATTCTCCTGCCTCAGCCTCCTGAGTAGCTGGGATTACAGGCACGCACCACCGTGCCCAGCTGATTTTTTTGTATTTTTAGTAGAGACGGGGTTTCACCTTATTGACCAGGATGGTCTCGATCTCTTGACCTCGTGATCCACCCGCCTCGGCCTCCCAAAGTGCTGGGATGACAGGCGTGAGCCACCACACCCGGCCATGTTTGTGTTTTAAGATAAGTGTTGTTATTACGAGAGTGAAAAAGTTTTAAATTGCCAAGTTTACAGTACAGGTTAATTTCTCAGAAGGAGTAAAAAAGAAAAAAAAAAAAGAAAATTGCAAAGTTTATGAAGTAAAAAAGTTACGGTAGACTAAGGTTAATTTATTATTAAAGAAAAAATTAGAGTAGCCTCAGTGTACAATGTCTTATAAAGCCTATAATACAGTAATGTCCGAGAGCTTTACATTCACTCACCACTCGCTCCCTGACGTGTTTCAATCGGGGAAAAATAATAGTACAGTAACACGCTGTTAAGGTTTGCAGCCTAGGAGCAATGGGCCATATCATACAGCCCTGGTGTGTAATAGGCTGTGTAAGTACACTCTAGGTTTGTGTAAGTACACTCTTCGTTCGCACAATGACAAAATCCCTTAAGATGAATTACTCGGAACGTACTCCTCCTGTTAAGCAATGCATGAGTACAGTGGGATTTTATTCAGCCTTTAAAAAAGATGAAAATTATAAATTATGCTACAACATGGATAAACCCTGAAGACATTCAGGGAAATAAGCCACAAAATAAGCCACAGAAGTCTAAAACTTAAGTTTTCTCATACGAAGTATTTACAGTAGTAAAATTCATACAGTAGTGGTTATGGGGGGGGGGGTGGTGTTAGGGACAGACGAGGGGGAGGATAGTTTCAGGATGAAACTGTTCTAACTCAGATCATCGGGCATTAGATTCTCATAAGGAGCACACAACCTAAACCCCTCGCATGCAGTTCACAAGAGGGTTTGTGCTCCTATGAAAATCTAACGCTGCTACTGATCTGACAGGAGGTAGAGCTCAGGTGGTCATGCTGGCCTGGTTCCTAACAGTCTGCAAGCGGGCCAGTCTGGAGCTGGTACCAGTCTGCAGCCTGGGGGTTGTGGACCCCTGGTCAAAGGGTTTAATGTTTTAGTGTAAGTTGAGAAAACTTCTGGATCTTAACTGACAACAATGTGAATGACTTAACACTACTGAACAGTACATTTAAATATGGGCTGAGATGACAGATTTTAAGTTACCTGTATTTTGCCACAATTATAGATGTTCTTAACGTAGTTCCCAGCAGGAAATCCTCAGGGATTTGTCTAAACTCTCAACATCAAATTTACATATATTAATAGGTTCTTTACCTGATATGAACTTGTTGGTGCTTAGTGAAGTGAGAGTTTTGGTTAAAGACTTTCCTGCATTCACCACACTCATAAAACCTTTCTCCTATGTGAATTTTTTTGGTGCTGACCAGTATTACATTTGTTGCTGAAGTCTTTCCCACATTCCCTTAACTTAAAAGGACTTTCTCTAGTGAGACTGCTGATGTGTAGAAAGGCTTGATTTGGTCCTAAACAATTCCCCACATTTACTGCACTCATGAGGCCTCTCCCCAGTGCAAACTTTATAGTGTTTACTTAATGTAGAACGGTATCCAAGGAACTTCCCACAGTTGCTGCATTCATAAGGCTTTTCTCCAGTGTGAACTCTCTGATGAATAATGAGTTGGTAGCGATCCCTTAAGAATTTCCCACATTCACTGCACTCATAAGGTCTTTCCCCAGTGTGAATTTTCTGATGTCTACTCAGTGTACAGTGATATCTAAAGAATTTCCCACATTTGCTGCATTTATAAGGCCTTTTTCCAGTGTGAATTCTCTGATGAATAATAAGTTTATAGTTGTCCATAAAGAATTTCCCACATTCATTGCACTCATAAGGTCTTTCCCCAGTGTGAATTTTCTGATGTCTACTCAGTGTATGGTGATAGCTAAAGAATTTCCCACATTTGCTGCATTTATAAGGCCTTTTCCCAGTGTGAATTCTCTGATGAATAATAAGTTTATAGTTGTCCATAAAGAATTTCCCACATTTATTGCAGTCATAAAGCCATTCTCCAGTATGGATTTTCTGGTGACCATCTAGATGAGCCTGTGTAAGGAAGGCCTTCCCACATTCACTACACGTATAAGGCCTTGGCCTGATGTTGATCCTCTTGTGTAGAATGAGGTCAGATCTTTTTGAAGATGCTTCAGTGTGGATTTTCTGGTGCTGAACTAGGTGGGACTTTCTAACAAAGGCTTTCCCACATCCAGTGCACTCATAAGGCCTTTCTCCAGTGTGAATTTTCAGGTGCTGAACAAGTTTGAGGCTAAAGCCTTTCCCGTATTTGCTACACTTAGCAGGCCTTTTGCCAGTATGAACTTTCTGATGTCTAATGAGTGTCGAGTTGTACATAAAAAATTTCCCACACTTGTTGCATTCATAGGGCTGTTGTTCTCCAGTATGGATTTTCTGGTGACCAGCAAGATGAGCCCGTGTAAGGAAAGCTTTCCCACACTGGGTGCATTCATAAGGTGTTGGTTTACTGCAAACCTCCTGATGTTCAAGAGGGTCAGACCTTTTTGAGAGAAAGCCTTCGGTACAAATTTTCTGATGCTGAACAAGGTTGGACTTTCTAATAAAGGTCTTTCCATATTCAGTGCATTCATAAGGCCTTTCTCCAGCACGATTTTGCTGATACTTAATAAGGTCGGAATTGTACCGAAATGGTTCCCTACATTCACTGAACTCATAAGGCCTCTCCCCAGTATGGGTTTTTTGGTGCTCAGACAGCTTATGTTGGTGGCAAAACTCTTTCCCACCTTGGCTGGAGTTGTAATCATTCTGTTCATCCTGAAAGGCTTCCCCATCCTGGGTATCCCTGTACAGCTTCCACCCACTGTTTAAGATCTGTTGCTGGAGAGGGTCTGAACTGGCAGTCAAATCCTTGCCACTCTGTGTGCAGGTGAAGTTCCTCTCTGCCGTGTGAACATTGTTGTTCACAAATGAAGGCCTCCACTCATCACTTCTGCTGAGCTTCTCTCTAATCTGCTCCTTTTGGTGCAGGTAATGCTCTGCTGCACACGTGTAGAGCCCTTGGTCAGGGTGTGTTCCGTTGTGCTCGGCCAGGTGCAGAATGTCCTTCAGAAGTGTGCTACATGTCTTGCAGGGCTGGGCCTCCAGGGTGGACAAAGCTGACTTTGGGGTTGTGACCTGTAACACCCTTACAGAAACACATTGCTTGGAAGATGCCTCCTTATCATTGGCTCCATGCCAACAACCTGTAAGAACAGAAATACTGATGAAGTGTGTGTTAACTCTGGAGGGAGGAGGCAGCCCCATAACAAATGTCAGTGAGGCACACCCACAAATGAGGGCACAGCATTGGTCACAGGCAAGGAAATAAGGCCAGTGAGAGGAAGGCCCACTGTTCAGAGGTGGGCCTGTCAAGTGTGTGTAATGGGGGAACCCCGGTTGTAAGGACACATGGGAGAAGTACCATGCACGGAGGGCAGGTGGGGTCTCCCATTTACTCCTCTACAAATGGCTTTCAACAGGCCATGACTGTTGTGTCCAGATCCGGAGAGATCTAATTGCATGAGGGTGAGTGTACAAGAACTATTGAAAGACACATACAAACCTCATAACACCTAAAGCACAGGTCATACATTAGAATGCACTGCAAAGGGAGAAGAGAGTGGTGGAGAGGGGAAGGCTGGAGAGGATGGGTCAGAAGTGGGAGTCAGGGGTTGGAAGTCAGAGTAAAAATAACAACAGGGACGGAAAGGAAGAGTGAGGGGTGGCCAGTGGCCCTGCATCAAACAATAGTGGTAACAAGTTAAGTTCTCAATGTGATTTGAACCCAACCCTGATACCACATCGTTTCCCAGCTTTCACCCACCAGGGCAAGAGACTTCTGAGTGTCTCTTGCCATTAATGGAGGACTATCCACTCTGTCAGGTACCCAGGTACCTCCCCCTTGCTCAAGGTGAGCAGCTATCTAGCTGTGGCACAAGTCAAGTTAGGGGAGAGGCAAGGAAAGGGAGGGGACAATGTGTACACCGCAATAAACCCAGGACATGCTGCATTCTAAAATTAGCAGAATATCCACTAGAGTCCTGTAGAAAGAACTTCACAATCCTCACAAGTGGTGACCAGGCAGGTGCCTGCAATTCCTAGTACAGTGTTACCCAGTATGCCAGCAAGGGAAACAGGGAAACCCTGGGGCAGAGGTTTCCTGCATTTGGACAGTGTCATGAAACCAGGGACAGGCACAGCCAGGAGGATATCTTAAAGAAACCTGAAGATTTCTGACGCCGGAGCCTTATCTCAAGTTGCAGAGCAACAGAAGCTGGGGCTGCTTAAAGAGAGGTGGTACAGTATACACAGCCTAGCACTGGCTGCCCCATCACGTTTGCCAGGAAACCAGGAGAGGACATAGCACCCACGATCTGGTGTGAGAAAGACAGAGTTGTCATGGAAAAGTGTAAAAAAACAGCACCCAGCACAAGACACCAGAGTAGGTATGAAGCCCTTACCTACTGATGACAAAAGCGCAAAGTTCTCCAGCATCACATTGCTGTGCAGGTGTCTCTGAGCATCATTAAGGATCCCCCACTCCTCCTGGGAGAAATATATGGCCACATCCTCAAAGACCATACAATCCTGCCAAAATTATGACACTTCAGTCCGTGAGCAACTTCTTATTTTGTGTTTCCTTAGATCTGTATTTATCTACTTGAAATCTAAGAATTAGAGGGCCAAACCAACAGTCAATGTTTTTACATTTCCCTGGCAATCCAGATCCCATATGCTGAACTGCCTATCTAGTAATGCTCATGCATGATCTTTTCTCCTGTCCTAATCAACACCAGTCACGTCACCACACAGTAACGGATAATCTCTAAGCCCTAAGGCTGCCAGACTGATGCAAACCATGGAGTTTAAGCTCCTCATCCCACCCTGCATGCCTTTCCTACCAAAACCCCAATACAGTCTCTGACGTACACTTTCCCTTCGATCATGCATATCTCCCCCATGACCAAATCTAGTATTTCCTGTGGCCTGGTGCAGCACGGCACTACCCCAGCACTAAGGAAATGAAAGTAACAAAAATTATTTCAATGCCATTAGCCTCTCTGTCATCACTCACTCTTTTCCAAAAATTAAAATCCAGTGGGCCAATCATTGATACGCTTCCCTCTCCAGAATCTTCAGTGCTTCTCCAACATCCACACACATCCATCCCCTGCTTAGCCTCCACCCACTTCCCAAGGAGGAAGAGACACCACATCCTGGTAGCGTCGACACCTGCTTTTGCCCGCACTGCTACTGATCACCGAGTCTAGCACAGCACAAAGATGGGTGGGGAGGAAGCGCAAGCATCATCATCAAAGGGTAGCACAGGGGGCCCTACCTTCTTTTTTTTTCTTGAGATGGAGTCTCGCTCTGTTGTTGAGGTTGGAGTGCAGTGGCGCAATCTCAGCTCACTGCAACCTCTGTCTCCTGGGTTCAAGCAATTCTCCTGCCTCGGCCTCCTGAGTAGCTGGGATTACAGGTGCATGCCACCACGCCCGGCTAATTTTTGTATTTTTAGTAGAGACCAAAAATACACCATGTTGGTCAGCTGGTCTCAAACTCCTGACCTCATGATCCCACAGTGCTGGGATTACAGGTGTGATCTCAAAGATGCCTGCCTTGGCCTCTCAAAGTGCTGGGATTACAGGTGTGAGACACCGTGCCTGGCCGGACCTACCTTCTTTTATCACCCTGTTTCCCTGGGTTCTCCAGATCGTGCCTCCCAGACACCCAAACTCGGACTCAGGCTTCTCCCTCATGTGCTCATTGCCAGGGCTAGGACCATCCATTCACGCTCCCCTCACCTTCAGGTCTCACTTTGGACAGTACCTCTCTCATGTATCTAACTCCTCCACTCCTGCAATACTAACAGCAACGCTGGCCCAACCAGGAGCATTTCCATGGTCTGCCAACATGACACTGTACACGGAGTCCTGTAACGCGCGACAAATGCAACCAGAACCATATTTGCCCCTGAGCTGCCCAGCATGTAATATTCCCTAGGGCCCGGGGCAGCACCAAGCCCTGTTCTGAAGGTCTCCCCTCCCAGTCCTGTCTCCTGCTTTTACCTCAGCACCCCCAAACCCAAGTGACAAACAACCTCAGAGTTCTTGTAGACCTCCTCTGAGTTCCAGGTCTTGGCTGTCTCTCCCTTTTGCACTGAACACGCTGTCCCATAAGCAGTCATAACCTTCTCTGTTCGCCTCGTCCTAATCCAAAGTCCAGACACACTGACCTCCTCAATGCTATCCCCACCCCAGGCCTAGCAATGCCCCTTGATGGTCCCATCTTCCCCTAAAGTAGTCTCACAGTTAACACGAAAACTACCCAGGTCCGACCAGGACTCGCTACAAAACCCTGGCAAGTTTGTGGAGATGCCTCGCCATCCTTCTCATGGCCACTCTCCTCTCAAAAGCCCTTCTTTTACTCCACAGCCCGCCCCCAACGTGACACACCCTCGGTCGATCCACTCTCTCATCTCTCTTTGTGAGACACCCACCAACACCCTCCAGGGGCCCAATGGAGAGACGCAGTCCTCAGTGTGTTCCTTCTCCTCCCTTCCCACTAACACCATTGATTCCTAAGTCTAACCCAGTTTCACAACAGTTCATCTGTCATGCAGTGGATGTCTCCCTCCTAAACACCTACACTGAACTCCAGTCCTGTGTGCGCAGCTGCCAGGCCGGCACGTCCACTGAAACGTTTGAATGTATTTTTGTTTCAGCTGGGTTTTTTGGAGACAGGGTCTTACTTTGTTGCCCAGGCTGGAGTGCAGGGGCACAATCATGGCTCCTTGCAGCCTTTACCTCCCAGCCTCAGGCGACCCTCCTGCCTCAGCAGGCCGATTAGCTGAGCCCACAGGCAGACGCCACCACACCCAGCTATTTATTATTATTTGTAGAGACAGGGTCTCCCTATGTTGCTCAGGCTCGCCGCCAGCTATCTTCCCACCTCTGCCTCCCAAAGCGCTGGGATTACAGGTGTGATCCACTCTGCCTGTTGGGACATTTTTGACTTGCCCAAAACTTGGCCCTCATATTCTCTACTGCATAAACACTCTCTCTACTGCAGACAGAACTTACATCTTAGCTGCTGGACCATCCATCCTTCCAAACAAGGCCAAACTGTGGGGCCATTCCTGACCCCTCTTCCCATCTCAGCTCCCAAGCTTCCTTGCTCTCTCCATTGTAAAATACAGGCAGCTCGGCTGGGCACGGTGGCTCAAAGCTGTAATCCCAGCACTTTGGGAGGCTGGGGCAGGTGGATCACGAGGTCAAGAGATTGAGACCATCCTGGTCAACATGGTGAAATCCCGTCTCTACTAAAAATACAAAAAATCAGCTGGGCATGGTGGCGCGTGCCTATAATCCCAGCTACTGGGGAGGCTGAGGCAGGAGAATTGCCTGAACCCAGGAGGCGGAGGTTGCGGTGAGCCGAGATGACGCCATTGCACTCCAGCTGGGATAACGAGAGCGAAACTCCGTCTCAAAAAAAAAAAAAAAAAAAAAATTATATATATATATATATATATATATATATATATATATATGCAGCTCTAGATCAAACACATACAGAAGCCACCCACTGCTCCCACTTCCACCCTCCTTCAGTCACCAACAACCTCCACCCACACCGCTACAGGCCAATCAACCAGGTATCCCTGGCTCCACCCTCATCCCCACATGGTCTTCCATTCTGCAGGCAGAGGAAGCCACTAATATCTGGGTCAGGTCATCTCTTTTTTTCCCTTCAAACCTTCCCTAGCTACTACCACCCTCAGATGAACGGCCAGGACCTTGGACTGCCATTCCATGCCTGATCCCTGCATGCCCCAACCTCCTACCCTGCTGCCATACTCTCTATGACAACCAGATAGAACCCGAATTTTCAGTTCACTAAACGTCCCAGCTAAGTCTTACCAGTAAGCATCTGAATATCCTATATCCTGTGCCTGGATGCCCTGCCCCATCTTATACCATCAGTTGTCGTGGAACTACAGTCTTCAGACCCAACATCAAGTTTCAGGACACCGTCTTTCCCTCTATCAGCAAGCCTAAAATATCAGAGTGGTAAGTGGTGAGGGGCTGGGGGAAGAGAGCCTGAGAAACCCTTGACTTACCTGTGCAGGGTCCTTATGCGTTGCTGCCATGGACCCTGTAAGAAGAAGCAGGCCGTGAGTGTCAGCGCAGTTTGCAGCATCCTACAGGCTGGGCTGTACAACCACCTTTGCCCTGTGCCGGTGCAAAGCGATCTGAAGCTACGCAAAGTCCTGAGTTCCGTGCCGCCTCTTAGCAGCTCTGTGTCTTTGGACAAGCACTAACCTTTCTAAGCCTCAGTGTCCTTATGTGTAAAATGGAGATTAAAAGGGTTCCCATTTTATAGGGCTCATATTGACAGGAAGCATAAGTAATACACACTATGTATAAGCAATTTCTACAGGATTAATGGTTTTGTATGTTTTTAGTACAAATGAGATAGAAGGGTTTTGAAAATTTGAGTATTTTCCCCCACTCCTTAATGTTTTAAGGAAACGTGATACATACAAAGCTTTGTACTATAAGCAGAGTTACAGGTAAATTAACCTTCTAACAACAAATATTTTAATATATTTAAATTATTGATTAGATTTATTTCCAATGACCTATGTGTACACATTTAGTACATTGGCTGAGAATTAAAGAAAGAAAAAAAAAAAAAAAAGCCCAGAGCTGTCTGACCTACACAAAATGCATCAGGCTCAGAGACAAGCACATGAGATGTCAGTCACACCCGTGAGCCTATGCCTGAGGATAACTGTTTAAAGACATTTTGTCCCTGACTAGCTGTCTGTATTATCTTCATGTTTCTGTAATCTATAATGTAAGAACAATGTATAGCCAAAAAAATATGTTATTTTAATATAAGGTATTGGTAAACAACTCAGAAACTGCTATTTAAAAAAAAAAAAAGCAAAAACCAAAAAACTTATAACTGCTGCTAAAGTGTATATTCAGGACAACTTGAATCTATGCTGCCAGATGGCTATCATCAAGATTCCAACTTGAATAAACTCTCTTTAAACTAGATTCTGACCTGCTTGGTTATGTAAGATTGATACAGCTTTAGTGTTTAAATCAATTACATGTTTTTACATCCCTAAGTGAATGAGTTGTAGGAGGGAGGTGAGCAGGCAATCAGTTACTCGACCGTTCAGCAAACAGGTGCGCCTGCCATCTCATGCTAGAAAGGGAGCTTGCTGGAGGACCTTAACTGTCAGTGGAGGATGTGAGAAAGCCCTGCTCAGTTTTGGACCCAGTTGCTCCACGGCCTTATCTTATTCCCCAAAGAGTGGCCCCCGGGGCTGGCTGAGTTAGAGTGTGGAGTGACTACAATACCTCATGCCTCAGTCTGCACACTTCAGGGCAGCTCCTTACCCATCCAGGCCTGTTTTCAACAGAAACACACCAAACTCTTAGCCCATATCTGCTTCCTTCTGCAGGGAGTATCAGAGATGCCCTCCCTACCATGGTCTTTCCTCCAAATCTGAGCCCTCCCCTCCCCTCAGCCCGTATGAAAAAACAACGTTATGATTCTTCCTTCTCAATCTGATCCACAGCCCATCTTCTCCTCAAGTGCACAACTTTTTTTTTTTTTTTTTTTTTTTTTTTTCTGAGACGGAGTTTTGCTGTTGTTACCCAGGCTGGAGTGCAATGGCGCGATCTCGGCTCACCGCAACCTCCGCCTCCTGGGTTCAGGCAATTCTCCTGCCTCAGCCTCCCGAGTAGCTGGGATTACAGGCACGCGCCACCATGCCCAGCTAATTTTTTTTTTTGTATTTTTAGTAGAGACGGGGTTTCACCATATTGACCAGGATGGTCTCGATCTCTTGACCTGGTGATCCACCCGTCTCGGCCTCCCAAAGTGCTGGGATTACAGGCGTGAGCCACCGCGCCCGGCCAAGTGCACAACTTCTAATTCATTTGAAGCCCCAGGCCTTCCCTGACCTTTGGAACTTGGGTCCACCTACCCATGTGATGTCGCCCAAAACCCAAACCAGCATCTTCTGTCTGAAACCTGCTCCTTAAGCTGATTTCTCTAATTCCATTCCTTCAGCTTCTCAGGCCGAAACAAAACGCACGGACTATATGTACCCTTCACTACCCACTTTCCCTCACAGCTGTGTTTGATGCGGCAGGAAATCCCGTTGGCTCCATCTCTGAGATCCATCCAGAATCTCCTCCCATCTCCTCTCTACTGCAACCCCTCTGGCCCAGCCCTAAAAGAACTCAAGGGGTCCCCCTGCCCCCGTTCGACATCCTGTTTTCCCCAGCGTTAACCTCTATCTGGGCGTGACCCTCCCATTGGTCCTCCCTCCACAGCACTCTATGGCTTTCTGTGGCTCCGCTGCCCTTCCAGGGGAGACTCCGCCTCACCCTGTGCTCCCTGGAAACAAAGACGATCAGGCTCCGCATGGCCGCCCGTTCTGCAGCGCCTCCAAACCCCGGGGACCTGTCGGTCTCCCACGAGCTCCCCCGCCTCATCGCACCGCACTCCCAGCCCCTCTGTTTGAGACACAAGGACCCCTCCTTGGGACTAAAGCACTAGGGGAGGGGAGGCTGGGAGGGGCGGCCTGGAACGCGGCACGCACCTCGGTCAGGTTCACCGGCCCGGCCTCCTCCAGTCCAGGCAGGGAAGAGCCAGGTGGGAACGAGCAGCGCCTGCAGCCCACTCAGACGATCCTCACTCTTGCCACTGTGTAGAAGGAACACCGCTTCTCGCGTTTTTCCGCTCTCTCACCTCAGTCCCGACCCAGACCTCTGTGACACCATAAATCAGCGAATGCTGATCTCGACGATGCCAAGCTAACGGAACCCGGACGGCGCCGCCGGAAGTCCCGCCCACACCATTGAGACCTCACTAGTGGTCTCTCTGCTAGATCTTCATTGGCTACACTCGCAGCCTGTGCCGCCCGCACGGTGTCTTCTGGGTAATGTAGTTCCTACGCTGCTGCCTGCCCCGCCTCATAATGCAGGGCGCGCCGACCTTATGGAAAAAAGCTGGGAGCTTCTGGAGGAGCCTTGAGAAATGCAGTTCCGGGGCTCTTAAGTACGTGGGTGGGGGGGGGGGCTCTTTGCCGACTCTTTTATTTATTTATTTATTTATTTATTTGTTTGTTTATTTTTTGAGACGGAGTTTCGCTCTTGTTACCCAGGCTGGAGTGCAATGGCGCGATCTTGGCTCATCGCAACCTCCGCCTCCTGGGTTCAAGCAATTCTCCTGCCTCAGCCTCCCGAGTAGCTGGGATTACAGGCACGCGCCACCGTGCCCAGCTAATTTTTTTGTGTTTTTAGTAGAGACGGGGTTTCACCATGTTGACCAGGATGGTCTCGATCTCTTGACCTCGTGATCCACCCTCCTCGGCCTCCCAAAGTGCTGGGATTACAGGCGTGAGCCGCCGCACCCGGCCGGCTTTGCTGACTCTTAAACGGCAAGTATCCAGATTTCCCCAGAAGGTCATCTAGCACAAGTCTGAGAAATATTTCACTGACGTTTCAGATTCTATGAAGCACAGCAAGTTCCCAAGGGAAGAACATCAGAGGGCACATGGCTGACCGTAATGAACTGGTCCTCCATTCACGGCGGTCAGCTCTTTTGCGCTTGTCAAGTACGCACATACTGAAGCTCTGGACACTTTTTTTGATCTTTGGTGTGCTCTGTTGGGACAAGAAAGACCCCCACAAGATGTGATGGGGAGTTGAAGGAGGTATATCTTTCCGTCAACGAAATGGGTGGGACTTTGTAAAATATTTGAAGAACTTTATTCTGTGCCAAATAATAAGTGGCTAATGGCCCATGACACAGCTCCAGGACATCCTGAGAACATGTGCCCAAGGTGGCCCATCTACAGCTGCTTGGTTTTAACAGTTTAGGACGACATAAGACACCAATCAATACATGTAAAATATATATTGGATCCCTCTGGAAAGGCGGAACTGGAAGGAGGGGAGCCGGACTTTCCAGGTCAGGTGAGTTCAAAGATTTTCTGATTGACAATCTATTGAAAGAGCTTTTCTCTAAACACCTGGAATCATTAGAAATAATTGTCTGGGCGGGCGCCGTGGCTCACGCCTATAATCCCAGTACTTTGGGAGGCTGAGGCGGGTGGATCACGAGGTCAACAGATCGAGACCATCCTGGTCAACATGGTGAAACCCCGTCTCTACTAAAAATACAAAAATTAGCTGGGCGTGGTGGTGCGTGCCTGTAATCCCAGCTACTCGGGAGGCTGAGACAGGAGAATTGCTTGAACCCAGAAGGTGAGGTTGCAGTGAGCTGAGATCGAGCCATTGCACTCCAGCCTGAGTAACAAGAGCGAAACTCCGTCTCGAAAAAAAAAAAAATTAGCTGGAGATGGTGGTATGTGCCTGTAATCACAGCTACTCGGGAGGCTGAGGAAGGAGAATTGCTTAAACCCGGGTGGCGGAAGTTGTAGTGAGTTGAGATCGTGCCATTGCACTCCATCCTGGGCAACAGAGCGAGACTCTGTCTCAAAAGAAAAAAATGTTCAATGAGCACTTACTGGATGTCAGGCACAACAGTAGGTGCATGGCACACATCAGGAATGGGCTTGCCACTGGCTATAACACATATCCTGTATTTAATGAATTTGTCCTGGGTCCTGTATTAACTTTGTTAGGGTGTCTCTAATATCCTGTACTGAGGTTTTTATTATCTTTGGAGATGAAGTCTCACTATGTTGCTCAGGCTGGTCTGAAACTCCTAAGCTAAAGCTATCTTCCCTTCTCAGCCTCTGGAGCAGCTGGGACTATCGGTACAGGACACTGTGCCTGGCTTTATTCAGCTTTTTACAATGCGTTACAGAATGTCGGCATTGAGAACTCTTTTTCTCTCACTGCAGTTGAGTAGCAATAGTATTGTCATCAGGTAGTGGCAATACTACCTGAAAATCATGCCCCCCAAATAAGGCATTTTGGAGATAATGCCTTATGGTCTCTCCTGCAGGACTGGTGAAGGAAGACCAAAAGAAAAGACCAAGAATTAAAATCCATTCCTGTTATGTTCAGGAAATGAAAGGGCTATTTTTTTGGCCAGAGTGTTAGAATTTAGTGTTTTGCCAACCAGTTTGCAAAAATTGTCTGCCCAACTGAAGGTCTGGCAAAACAAAAATGAAAACAAAACATCGTTGAAAGGGATGTGGAAAAGTAATTAATGAATATTAAACTAATTGTCAACATAACCAGTTAAAAAATAAGAACTTTCACTACTGTGGATAGTTAGTTCCTTACTTAGGTGGGAGAAATTTGCTACATGAATGGACAATGGCTACACCAAATATAAAAACTGAACTCTGACCCAGAAGTTACAGCAACCCATTCAGAAATCCAGGGTGGTATCTACAGTAACCGCTCCAAGTCAGCATGCCATGTCTGTTCTAGCAACCAGGCCAGGAAGCCATACAACCCGCAAACAACTGACTTAAAATGGCCAAGACAGTGATTACGAACTGACAGCTTTCTTAATTGTTGCCCACATGCTCAACTTAGGACCGACTGGAGAAAGCAAATGCATCACTAGCCAATCACACAGTCTGTCAACCTTCTAAATAACCCCCTTCCAACACAGACACACACACGCTCACTCCCCATGGCAATACCCTCCAATCATGGCATACCTAATACTTCACCTTTCATCTACTATAAAGCTTTCTACACCTCTCCTTACCTTTCAAGCTCTGCTGAGTGCAAGAGATTGTGAATGACTCCCTTACTATGGTGTGGCCTGATTTAATAGGCTATGTTTGGCCGGGCGCGGTGGCTCAAGCCTGTAATCCCAGCACTTTGGGAGGCCGAGGCGGGTGGATCACGAGGTCAAGAGATCGAGACCATCCTGGTCAACATGGTGAAACCCCGTCTCTACTAAAAATACAAAAATTAGCTGGGCATGGTGGTGTGCACCTGTAGTCCCAGGTACTCAGGAGGCTGAGGCAGGAGAATTGCCTGAACCCAGGAGGCGGAGGTTGCCGTGAGCCGAGATCGTGCCATTGCACTCCAGCCTGGGTAACAAGCGCGAAACTCCGTCACAAAAAAAAAAAAAAAATTTAGCCAGAAGTCCAGACCTCATCACTCTCTAAGTAATTTAAGGTGACTGAGGTGATACACACCGTGGCACCATGCCAGCTAATGGCAGGAGTCTTCAGTAATAGACACTTTCAGCAACTTAACTCTGGAAGGGCCCTAGGCAGGTCAGAAAGTGCAATATCGTTCACAAAGACTTCCCATATATCTGACAATTACCAAAAAATCTCCCTTGCGTGGATGTTTAGATGTGAGAATCAATTTCAGGCTAAGATCTCCCTCAACAAGCTAACACAGGGTGTCCAAGGGAAAGAATACAGTAATGGGTTCTTAGCTTATTCCTAGCTGGGCAGGTAAAGCCCCTTTCTCTACTCATTCCTGTTTTTCCACTTACCACTGGAGACAGAAACAAAACCATGGCTTCAGGCTAAAAGCCTAAAACAAAACAGAACGACAAAATAAGGTGGGGAGGACACGCTTGATAGAGCTTTGCTATTTTTGAACAGTTAACAAAGGAAAAAACGCATTGCCTGCATTCCTAAGGACTTTCTACAGGATCGCCTTACTCATGCTCAGTAAAGTTAGGCTAAAGACTTTCTAATATTTGTGGCACTCATATTCTGTTGGTTGTATAGTCGTAAGATATAAAGGTGTTTTTCTGACGTCAGGACAGGTCACAATGATACTCATAAAATGTAGACCACTTTGCTACTTAGAGCTTGAAACCAAAGGACATAGGCAGGGCTGCAACAGTTAGGAGGGAACTCACAGCGAACTGGAGCTGCAGGGGGCAGTTTGTGTATGCCTTGTGGATTGGGGTGCGCTAGGTTTTCAGGGCTCCCTGTGCATTGGCCAATGTGAATAATTACATAAGCTCCTGGGCACAGGAGCTGTCCCTAGATATCTGATTCCTGGGCCTGGGGTAATTAGGTCTCACATATTGTGGCCCAGAGTTTGAGAGCTTGAAAAGGAAGGTGGCTGGGAGTGTGAACTTAATCAGCTGCTCCAAAATTGGAACTGACAAGCCTCTACAAGGGCCTTAATTTTAATGCTGGGCAAAAACATTATGCTTTAATGTTAAAAAGAAAATAACCTGTATACCCACATGCAAAAGAATTAAGTTGCTAAAATGAACTCAAATGCATGAAAGACTTATGTATTTGATTCCACTGAAATTTAAAACTCCTGTGCAAAAAATGACATAATGGACAGGGTGAAAAGAAAACAGACTCAATGGGAGAAAGTATTGGAAAACCACATAGCTGATACGGAGTATCTAGAATATGAGGAGTCTTCAAAAGTTTCATGAAAAATGTATATTAAAAAATTGTCCAGGCGCAGTAGCTCATGCCTGTAATCCCAGCACTCTGGGAGGCTGAGGCAGGTGGCTCACCTGTAGTCAGGAGTCGAGACAAGCCTGGCCAACACGGTGAAACCCCCTCTCTACTGAAAATACAAAAATGAGCCAGGCACGGTTGTGGGCAGCTGTAATCCCAGCTCCTTGGGAGGCTGACGCAGGAGAATCACTTGAACTTGGGAAGCAGAGGTTGCAGTGAGCAGAGATCACACCACTGCACTCCAGTCCGGCAACAGACTGAGACTCCATAAAAAAAAAAAAAAAACCTGAAAAAATTATGTATGGATTTCAATTTTTTACATGTAAACTTGTTATAACATGCATGAACAGGACCTAGTTTGAGGCACGAAGAATGGCATCAGTTTGAAAACAGCTTCTATCAGAGGAATGTGAATTCAGCTAAAGGTGAAGGAAGGAAGTCATCTCGTTCATGACCTAATTGAAGAAAACTGATGATTAACAGCAGAAACAGTGACGCCACGGACACCTGAATTGGTTCAGCGTACACAATTGTGACTGAAAAATTAAAGCTGTGTGAACTTTCCACTCAATGGGTGCCAAGGCCACTGAATCCAAGTAAGCTGCAGACACGAGAACCTTCAATGTCAATGTTAAACAAGCAGGGTCCAGATGCTGAGGCGTGTCTGTCTTTGAAGAACTGTGCGAGAGATGAAACATGAGGTGTGTCTTTGAAGAACTGTGCAAGAGATGAAACGTGGCTTTCTCACAGTCACAATCACAGCAATGGCTGCCAGGAGTGGGCAGTGGTCCAGCCAAAGCAAAAGCAGTCAAGAGCAGAGGTCATGGCAAGTTTTCTGGGATGCTCAAAGTACTTTGCTTGTCCGCCTGCTAGAGGGTGAAAGAACAATAACATCTGATTATGAGAGTCTGAGATGGAGTTTCACTCTTGTTGCCCAGGCTGGAGTGCAATGGCATGACCTCGGCTCACTGCAACCTCCACCTTCCAGGTTCAAGCGATTCTCCTGCCTCAGTCTCCTGAAGAGCTGGGATTACAGGCATGCACCATCACGCCTGGTTAATTTTTGAACTTTTTAGTAGAGACAGCATTTCTCCTTGTTGGTCAGGCTGGTCTCAAACTTCCGACCTCAGGTGATCCGCCTGCCTTGGCCTCCCAAAGTGCTGAGATTAAAGGCATGAGCTACTGCACCCAGCCTATGAGAGTTTTAGAAAGTTAGCTAATGCTGGCAGAAAAACCCTGGGAAAGCTTCACCAGGAATCCTTTTTCACTACAGTGCTCCTGCTCATTCCTCTCATCAAATTAACTGCAACTTTATCAGAATTTCTGTGTAAAATCCTAAGGGATCCACCATACAGTCCTGATTTGGCTGCTTCTGACTTCGTTTCCTACTTTTAAAAATTCTTTAAAGGCCACCCATTTCTCTTTAGTTAATATAAAAAAGCACTGCATACACACAGTTAAATTTCCAGGAACCTCACTTCTTTAGAGATGGACTCAGCCTGGTGTCATTAGTTACAAAATTGTCTTGAACTTGATGGAGCTTCTGTTGAGAAATAAAGCTTACGTTTTCTTTTTGTATCTTTCATGTTTCTGAAGTTGCTACATGTACTAAAAAACTCCTACATCTCAACAAAAGCCAAATAACCATAAAGAAGTAAAAAAAAAAAAATTAACAAATAACACCTCAACCCATTGGTACAGCTACTACTAAAAAAAAAAATTATAAAAGTGTTGGCAAGGATGTGAGAAATTATAACCCTTGCACTGTGGTGGGAATATAAACTGATGCAGCTGCTATAAAAAATAGTCCTCAAAAAATTTAAAACAGAATTAACATAGGATGGGAACATTGTGAGGGCAGAAATTAAAAAACAAAAAATATTTGTAAAATGAACATAGGAAGCACCAATTCTACTTCTGGGTAAATCCTCACAAGGAATTTAAAGCACAGCCTCAAAGATATATTTACTTGTACACTCATGCTCATCTGCTATTAACACCTAAGGAGTGGAAACAACCCTAACGGAAGGAAAAGTGGCATATACATAGATCATCATGCACCGCACTTTTCCGTCCCGCAAAATTATAATGAAGCTGAAAAATGCTTATCACCTAATGACATGATGGCAATGGTAACGCAATGTATTTTTTTTTTGAGAGTCTCGCTGTTGCCAGGGTGGAGTGCACTGGTGCTATCTCGGCTCACTGAAATCTCCGCCTCCTGGGTTCAAGCGATTCTCCTACCTCAGCCTCCCGAGTAGCTGGGACTACAGGCACCCACCACCATGCCTGGCTAATTTTTGTTATTTTTAGTAGAGAGGGGGTTTCACCATGTTGGCCAGGATGGTCTCGATCTCCTGACACTGTGATCCGCCTGCTTCAGCCTCCCAAAGTGCTGGCATTACAGACGGGAGCCAGTGTGCCCGGCCCCAAGACAATGTATTAATCACATGTTCATGGTGATGCTGGTACAGACAAACCTATTGTGCTGCCAGTTATATACAACTATAACATATACAATCATGTACAGTACATAATACTAGTTACTAGCTCGTGCTCTTAGCGTACCACACTTTTTACCATTAGCTGTTCTCCAACATTAGAGTATACATGGAGTTGCGGGTCCTTCAGGAAGTATTCCAGAAAAGCGCATTGTTATCTTAGGAGATGACAGCTCCATGTGTTACTGCCCCAGAAAACTTTCTGGAGCAGGATGTGGGGGGTAGAAGACAATGACATTATCCTGATCCTGTGGAGGCCTAGATATAAATGTGCAGATCTTAGTTTTTAACAAAAATAAGTTTAAGTTAGGATGTAAAAAACATTTTTGTACAGTTATACAAAGTTTTAATCAAAACATTACAAAATAGTCAAAAAGTTTTAAAAAATACAAGCTTATAAAGTAAAAAAATGGTCAGCTAATATATTAAAGAAAAAATATTCTACAATTTTGTCCAGCTGGGCACGATGGCTCATGCCTGTAATCCCAGCACTTTGGAAGGCTGAGGCAGGTGGCTCACTTGAGGTCAGGGGTTTGAGACTAGCCTGGCCAACATGGTAAGACCCCGTTCTCTACTGAAAATACAAAAATTAGCCAGGTATGGCGGCGCGTGCCTGTAGTCCCAGCTACTCAGGAGGCTGAGGCAGGAGAATTGCCTGAACCCAGGAGATGGAGGCTGCAGTGAGCCATGATTGTACCACTGCACTCCAGCCTAGGTAACAGAGCAAGATCCTGTCTGAAAAATAATACTTAGTGTTGTCTAAGTATACAGTATCTATAAAGTCAACAGTACAGTAGCATCCTGGGCCTTCACATTCAAGCACCACTCACCGACTCACCTAAAGCAACTTTCAGTACTGTAAGCTCCACTCATGGTAAGTTCTCCATGTGGGTCTATCATTCTTTCTTTCATATTGTATTTTTACTGTACCTTTTCCATTTAGATATACTTAAAAACAATTACTCACCGTATGCTTCAACAGCCTACAGTATTCAGTACAATGATATGCTGTACAAGTTTGCAGCAAGGTGCTACAGGGTACACCATACATCCTTGGCATTCACACAACTAAAAAAAAAAATTGCCTATTCACACTTTTCTCAGGACACTTCCCACTGTCAATCAACACATGACTGTAACAATTTTATTGAGCAGTTAAAAAGGATGGAAATTCTAATGGATTACAGAACACGAAACCTTAAAAATAGTATGTTAAACAAAATAAGCCACAATATAAATCACAAGACCAAAATTTAAGCTTTCTTCTATGAGGTACCTGGACTACTAACACTCATACAGTGATGCTTGTCAAGTGGAGTGGGGGATAAGGTTTTAAAAGTATAGACTTAGTTTCCTAAATTGAAAAGACTTCTAGATATTCATTGCACAATGTGAGTGACTTAACACTAGTGAACTATGCACTTTAACATGGTTAAGATGTTAGATTTTGTTATCTGTATTCTCAAATAATACTTTATTTTTTTTTTTTTGAGTTGGAGTCTTGCTCTGTCGCCCAGGCTGGAGTGCAGTGGCGAAATCTTGGCTCGCTACAATCTCCGCCTGCTGGGTTCTCCTGCCCCAGCCTCCCAAGTAACTGAGATTGCAGGTAGGCACCACCATGCCTAGCCAATTTTTTATGTTTTTAGTAGAGACGGGGTTTCACCATGTTGGCCAGGCCAGTCTCGAACTCCTGACCTCATGATCCCTCTGCCTTGGCCTCCCAAAGTGCTGGGATTACAGGCATGAGGCACCAACCAAGAATACTTTCTTAAAACACATAGGTCCCAGGGCTAAATCAGAGCAGATTTCTGTGTGAAGTCTTTCCATATCTGCTTTATATATATACATTCATTATCTGGTATGAACTTTCTGGTGCTGAATGAGGTGAGAATTTTGGTTAAAGCCTCTTCCGCATTCACTGCACTGATAAGGTCTCTCTCCAGGGTGAACTCTCCGATGTTTAATAAGGCTAGAGTTGTATTTAAAGACTTTCCCACATTCACTGCACTCATAAGGCTTTTCTCCAGTATGAACTTTCTGATGACTAATGAGTGTGAAGCTGTCCATAAAAAATCTCCCACATTTGCTGCATTTATAAGTTCTTTCCCTAGTGTGAACTTTTTGGTGCCGAATGAGGTGGGAATTTTGGCTAAAAACTCTTCCACATTCAGTGCACTCAAAAGACCTTTTTCCAAAGTGATTTTTCCAGTGTCTAAGATGATTTGAGTTGTGTCTAAATAATTTTCCACATTCACTGCACTCATAAGGCCTTTCACCAGTGTGAATTCTCTGATGTGCATCAAGTGTGGAGCGACACCTGAAGGATTTTCCACAAATGCTACATTCAAAAGGTTTTTCTCCAGTGTGAATTCTCTGATGACTCTTCAGTGAACAGCTGTCCACAAAGAATTTGCCACATTCACTGCATTCGTAACGCCTCTCTCCAGAGTGAATTCTCTGATGTCTATTCCGGGTAAAGCAATACCTAAAGCACTTCCCACAATCACTGCACTCATAAGGCTTTTCTCTAGTGTGAACTCTCTGATGAATAATGAGTGTGGAAATGTCCATAAAAAATTTCCCACATTCACTACACTCATAAGGCTTCTCTCCAGTGTGAACTTTCTGATGCCTAATGAGTGTGGAACGGTATCTAAAGAATTTCCTACATTCGTTGCATTTGTAAGGCTTCTCTCCAGTGTGAACTCTCTGGTGAACAATGAGTGTGCAGCGGTCCAAAAAGAATTTCCCACATTCACAACAATAAAAAGGCCTTTCTCCAGTGTGAACTTTCTGATGTCTAATGAGCGCAGAATTGTACATAAAAAATTTTCCACATTCATTGCATCCATATGGTCGTTCTCCAGTATGAATTTGCTGGTGACAAACAAGGTGAGCACGTGTGAAGAAGGCCTTCCCACATTCACTACACCCGTAAGGCCTTGGCCTGGTGTGAATCCTCTGGTGCTGAAGTACGTGAGACTTTTTAAGGAAGGCTTTCCCACATTCACTGCACTCATAAGGCCTTTCCACAGGCCTTCTGTGAATTTTCTGGTGTTGAACAACGTTATACTTGAGTCTGAAGGCTTTTCCACATTCACTACACTTATAAGGCCTTTCTCCACTATGAGTTCCCTGATGTTTAGTAAGGTCTGAGTTGTATTTAAATAATTTGCCACATTCACTGCACTCATAACGCCTTTCCTCTGTATGGATTTTCTGGTGCTCAGACAGCATATGTTGCTGGCAAAAGTCTTTCCCACATTGGCTGCAACTGTAATCATTCTGTCCACTTTCAAAGGCCTCCACACCACGAGTGTCCCTGTGTGGCTTCCACCTGTTGTGAAGAGCCTGTTGTTGAAGATCTGAATCGGTAGTAAAATCCTTACCAACCTGTGTGCACGTGAAGTTCCTCTCCGCCACATGAACACTGTCATTCACAAATGAAGCCCTCTCTTCATCACTTCTGGTGAGCTTCTCTCTAAGATGCTCCTTTTGGTGCAGGTAAAGCTTGGCTGCACACCTGTACAGCCCTTGCTTGAGGTGTGTTCCGTCATGCTCAGCCAGGTGCAGAATGTCCTTCAGAAGTGAGCTGCATGTCTCACAGGGCTGGGCCTTCTGGGTAGACAACGCTGGCTTTAGAGTTGTGACCTGTGACACTTCCATAGAAACATACTGCTTGGAAGGTGCCTCCTCATCCTTGGCTCCATGCCAACAACCTAAGGACAGAAATGCTGGTGAAGTGCATGTTGACTTTGGATGGGGAAGTCAGCCCCATCACAGATCACAGATGTCTGTCAGACCAACTCACAAGACCACGGGATTGGTGACAAGCATGGACACTAAAGCCAGTGAGAGGAAGGCCTACTGGGAAGAACTGGCCGGACAGAAACTCATGATGAAACAGTCCTGATGATGGGGAACAACATAGGGGGTGGTACAATGCAGAGCACAGAGTCCCCCAGTAATGGTAAATGGCTTTCAACAGGCCATACTGCTGGTGAGCAGTATGCAGAAGGCTGTGTCCAGACCCAGAGAGATCTGATGTGACAGCGGAGCTGGTGTTCAGGGACTACTGAAGTATACATGCAGACCTCACAACACCTTAAATACAGGTCATATGTAGGAGGGCACTAAAAAGGGAGCAGCAAAAGGGAACAGGTGGCTGGGTGCAGTGGCTCACGCCTGTAATCCCAGTACTTTCGCAGGCCGAGGTGGGTGGACCACCTGAGGTCGGGAGTTTGAGACCAGCCTGACCAATATGGAGAAACCCTGTCTCTACTAAAAATACAAAATTAGCTGGGCGTGGTGGTGCATGCCTGTAATCCCAGCTACTTGGGATGCTGAGGCAGGAGAATACCTTGAACCCAGGAGACGGAGGTTGCAGTGAGCCACTGCACTCCAGCCTGGACGAGAGTGAAACTCTATCTTAAAAAAAAAAAAAAAAAAAAAGGTGAGCGGTAGAGGTCAGAGAGGTAGGGTTAGAGGTGGGAGCCAGGAGATGAAAGTCAATAAAGAAATCACAATAGGAAAGAAAGAGACATGTGGTGTGGTCACCGGTAGGGACCTCAAACTGGATTGATTCCCAGTGTGATGTGGACCCAGCCCTGTCATCACACCCCTTCTGGCCTACCACCCATCGGGGCCAAGTCCTTCTGAGTATCTCTTGCCATCGATGGAGTAATACCCACTCTGTCAGGACCTCGACCTTGCTCAAGGTGAGCAACTATCTAGGTGTGGCATTAGCCAAGCTAGGGGTAAAGACAGGGAAAGGGAGGAGACAGCTTGTACACAGAGCAATAAACCCAGGACATGCTGCATTCTAAAGTTACCAGAACTTCTAGTGCAAAGTCCTGCAGCAGTAAGTCCACAGTTCTCACAAGCAGTGACGAGGTCGAATCCCTGAAATTCCTGACACAGGGTATCCCTCAGGCATGTCAGCAAGAATGGACAAAGTCTTGCAGAGAGAAGAGTTTCATGCATTTGGATAAAGTAAACTAATCAGGGGCAGGCAAGGCCTTTAGGATATTCTAGAGAAACCTGAAGACTTCTGACTTGAGCCTATCTTTTTTTAAAATTGTATTTATTTATCTATCTATTTATTTGTTTATAAGACGGGGTCTCACCACGTTGATCAGGCTGGTCTTGAACTCCTGACCTCAGGTGATCCGCCCACCTTGGCCTCTAAAGTGCTGGGATTACAGGCGTGAGCCACTACGCCCGGCCGAGCCTCATCTTACAAGGCTTCAGAGTGACAAGAGCTAAGCTTCTTAAGGAAAACTGACACAGATGACACAGCCCAGCCGTGGCTCCCGCAACACATATGCCAGGAAACAAGGAGAGGATGCAGCATCCATGATCTGGTGTGAGACAGACCTGCCCAGGAAAAAAGTGAAAAGCCATTGCCCAGCACAAGACACTGACCTAGGTGTCAGGGCCTTACCTACTGATGACAAAAGTGCGAAGTTCTCCAGCATCACATCGCTGTGCAGGTGTCTCTGAACGTCATTAAGAATCCCCCACTCCTCCTGGGAGAAATGTATGGCCACGTCCTCAAAAACCATACAGTCCTGCCAAAATTATGACAGTTTAGTCCATGAGCAACTTCTTTTTTTTTTTTTAAGATGTTATCTCAGTCTGTTGCCCAGGCTGGAGTGTAGTGGTGTGATCTTGGCTCGCTGCAACCTCTGACTCCCTGGGTTCAAGTGATTCTCCTGCTTCAGCCTCCTGAATAGCTGGGATTATAGGCGTGCACCACCACTCCTGGCTAATTTTTGTATTTTTAGTAGAGACAGGGTTTCATCATGTTGGTCTCAAACTCCTGACCTCGTGATCCTCGTCCACCTCGGCCTCCCAAAGTGTTGGGATTACAGGCGTGAGCCACCCCTCCAGGCCCATGAGCAACTTCTTACTCTGTTTCCTTAGATCTATATTTATCTATTTGAAATCTAAGAATTAGAGGACCAAAATAACAACCAGTGTTTTAACATTTCCCTTACAATCCAGATCCCATAGTCTGAACTGCCTATGATTTCTCCTGCCCTAAATCAACACAAGGCTTATACTTTACAAGGAGGGATAGTCCCTATGCCCCCAGGCTGCCCAAATCAGGCAAACCACCCAGTCTTAAGCTCTTCATGCTGCCCTGCATGCCTTTCCAGCCACAACCCCAATAAAGCCTCTGATGTATGCTCTCCCTTCAATTGTGCATCTGCCTCCTGACCAAATCTGCTATTTCCTCTGTGGCTTTATGTGGAATGGCGTACCCCCTCCACTCAGGAAATGAAAGCAATAAAAATTATATCATCCAGGCGTGATCTCTCGCCAGTCGTAGAAAAAAATCATTTCAATGCCATTAGCTTTTCTGTCATCACTCACTCTTGTCCATAGATTGAAATCCTGCGGGTACAATCACGGATACACTCTCCTCTCCAGGATCTTCAGAGCTCCTCAGTACACCCACATATATCCACCCCCTGCTCAGCCTCCACTCACTTCTCAAGGAGGAAGACACCAGGTCCTCGTGGCGCCTGTACCTGCTCTCCCCTCACTGCCACTGATCACTGATTCTAAGCACAGAACAAAGATGGGTTGGGGAAGAGTCTGAAAAGCACCATCAAAACCTGGCACACGGAGGCCGACCTTTCTTTAGTCACTCAATTTCCCTAGTCCCCCAGATCTTGCCTCTCACTGAACCACACATGGACTTGATCTCCTCCCTTAAGTGCCCAGTGCCCGGGCTGGGACCATCTGTTCATGCTCCTCCACTCACACTTTGGAAGGCACCCCCTCATGTATCCAACACCTCGACTCCTGCAGCACTAACAGCCACCACAGCTCAGTCAGGACTATTTCCATGGCCTCTCAGCATGCCACTCTGCACATGGAATCCTGCAGTGCATGGCAAATGCACCAGAACCTTATGTTCCCCTGGACTGAGCAGAATGCGATGTTTCGGAAACACTGCCTTGAAGGTCCCCCAATCCAATCCTGTTTCTTGCCTTCACCTCAGCTTCCCAAACCCGCACATTCTTGGCTGTTTCTCCCTTCTACATGTGCATGCTATCCCATAAGCAGCCACAACTTTATCCCCTAACTCTAATCCAAAGCCCAGACACACTGACTTCCCCACCACCATCCCCACCCCAGGCCTAGCAATGCTTCTTGCTGATCCCATCTTCTGCCAAAATAGTCTCAGAATTTGCACAGAACTACCCAGGTCCAACCAAGACTTGACACAAAACCCTTCTGAGTCCATAACAGGGTAATAAGCCCCTCCCAAACCTCACTACCATCTCATCTCTTTTGTGGAGATGCCTCACCATCCATTTTATGTGCACTTTCCCCTCAAAAAGCCTTTCTTATTCTCCAGAGGCCATCCCCAACATAAACACACAAATACACACATACGTATCCTCAGTCCATACACTCCCTTGTCTGTCTTGGTGATGCCCACCGACACCATGCAGGTACCCTATAGAAAGATCCAGTCCTCAGCCTCTTCCTTTCCCTAATGGCATTGCCTCCAGAATAAAAAGATGCCTTCCTAAATCTGACCCACAGATTTACAATGCTGTACACACCAGTTATCATGCAGCAGGTGTCTCCATCCTGAACAACTCCAGTGAATTCCATTCCCGTGTGTTCAACTGCCAGTCTGGCACGTCTAGTTGAGTCTCCGTAACATTTCTGACTTGGCCCAACCCTCATTCTTCATATGCTCTATTAAACTCCCCCAGCTGCAGAACTCACCACATCGTAGTTGCTAGAACATCCATCCTTCTCAACAAGGCCAAGACTATGAGGCTGTTCCTGACTCTCTCTCGCAACCCACCTCCTCGGCTTCCTCACTCTGTACATCAAAAAAACGGGAGCAGCTCTAGATTAAAACCTACAGGAGCCACACACGCCTCCCACCTTCACAGCCGCCACTCTGTCCAGCCACCACCGACCTCCACTGGACTGTGGCAGGAACTATCACCCAGGTATCCTTGGTTCTTCCCTAATTCTCACTCTGTCCTCCATTCTGCAGGCAGAGGAAGCGTCTTAGAATCTGAGTCAAATCACCTTTTTTTCCTTTCTCAAACCTTCCCTAGCTACAACCCCTCTCAGATTAAAGACCTAGAATTGCCAGGCATAGTGGCTCACACCTGTAATCCCAGCACTTCGGGAGGCTGAGGCAGGCAGATCGCTTGAGGTCACGAGTTTGACACCAGCCTGGCCAACATGGTGAAACCCTGTCTCCACTAAAAATACAAAAATTAGCTGGGTGTGGTGGCTCATGCCTGTAATCCCAGCTACTCAGGAGGCCGAGACATGAGAATTGTTTGAACCTGGGAGGTGGAGGTTGCAGTGATCTGAGATCACACCAGCTCATTCCAGCCTGGGCAGAGTGAGACTGTCAGAAAAACAAAACAAAAACCAAAACCCTAGAACCTCAGGCTGCCATTCCATGCCTGATCCCTGCATGCCCCAACCTCCTGCCCTGCGGCTGTGCACCACCTTATCCTCGCCAGCTAGAACATGAAGTTACAGTTCTCCCAGCATCCCATCTAAGTCTCACCACCAAGCATCCGAACATTCTGGATCCTGTGTTTGAGATGTCATGCCAAATCTCATATCATCAGTTGTAAGAACTAGAACCACTTTATATAACCAGGGACTGACTTTGGAACCCAGGTCTGGTGGAATTACAGGCTCTCCTTGGACCCAAGGGAGAGAGAAGAAAAGGTAAACAGTCTCAGGACAACACCATTCCCTATGTCAGCATGCTGAAACCAGCTGGGATGGGTGAAAGCTGGAAACTCTCCACTCACCTGTCCAGCATCCATAAACATTGCTGCCACTGCCGTGAACCCTGTGGGAAGAGGCAGGCCATGAGGATTAAGACAGCAATGCAGCATCCTACAGGCCCTGCAACTAGAGCAAAGTTATCTGAGGCTACACAATAATTCCTCGGGGTTCAGTGTCTTGGCCAGGACTAAACTTTTCTAAGTCTCAGTACCCTTATGAGTAAAATAGAGATTAAAAGGATTGCCAACTAAGAGGGCTCATGTCGGCAACAAACATAAGTAGTACGCACTATGTATCAGCAATTTATTTCCACTGGATGAAATATTTTATGTTTTCAACACAAATGACAGGAAAGGGTTTTGAAATTTTGGGTGTGTATTTTTCCCACTTGTTACGGCGTCAAGGAAATGTGATACATAAAACTTTCCATTGCAAGCAAATAGAAAAATTAACATTCAGCCGGATGCGGAAGCTCATGCCGGTAATCCCAGCACTTTGGGAGGCTGAGGCGGGTTGATAATGAGGTCAGGAGACAGAGACCACCCTGGTCAACATGGTGAAGCCCCGTCTCTGCTAAAAATACAAAAATTAGGTGGTGCATGCCTGTAATCCCAGCTACTCGGGAGGCTGAGGCAGGAGAATCACTTGAACCCAGGAGGCAGAGGTTTCACTGAGCCAAGATCGTGCCACTGCGCTCCAGCCTGGCAACAGAGCAAGACTGTCTCCAAAAAAAAAAAAAAAAAAAAAAAAAACAGAGAAAAGAAAAACTTAACATTCAAACAATTATTAAGTGAGTAAGTTTAACTACTGGTTACATTCATTTCTAACTGCTGACTTACAGGCACAGATTTACAAGCATATTGGTTCATTAGTGGTTAAATAAATGTTTTATGCATTCATAAGTAAATAAGTTGTAGGGAGTAGATAAGCGGGCAGGTTAGTTACTGGTCCCATCAGCAACCAGGCTTGCCTGCTACAACTTCTGTTGCTGGAGGCCCTTGACTAGATGTGACAAAGCCCTACCCAGGTTTGGACCCAATTTCCCCATTAGTCTGGATGACCTTCTTACTGATCCAAAGAGTGGGCCTGAGGGTCTGCTGAGTCTGCAGGTGCAGAATCGAAACCACCTCACACCTCAGTCTCCAGCCTAGGCCAGTTCCTTAACCCATTCAGGACTCGTTTTTGCTGACACAGATCAGAATCCTTCCTACGACATGTCTGTGCCTTTCTAAAGTGAGTGTTAGGTTTATGGACCTGCCTATCACCTGCCCTCCAAAACTCAGCCCTCCAAAATGCAACTTGTAGTCCCCTCTAAAACCTGCTCCTTAAGCTGACTTCTCTAACTCCATTCTTTCAGATTTTCAAGCCGAAACAAAACCCATGGAACACACCTTCCACTACCCTCACAGCTATATTTGATGCAGCAGAAAATCCTGTCGACTTTTATCTCTGAGACCCATCCAGAATCTCACCACATCTTCCCTTTACTGCAATCCCTACGGCCCAGCCCTACCGTAACTCAAGGGGTCTCCTCAGAGGTCCCTTGTCCTAGTTTAACAACCTGTTTTCGGCCGGGCGCGGTGGCTCACGCCTGTAATCCCAGCACTTTGGGAGGCCGAGGCGGGCGAATCACGAGGTCAGGAGTTCGAGACCAGCTTGGCCAAGATGGTGAAATCCCCGTCTCTACTAAAAAATACAAAAATTAGCCGGGCGCGGTGACGGGCACCTGTAATACCAGCTACACGGAAGGCTGAGGCAGGAGAATCGCTTGAACCCGGGAGGTTTGAGCCGGGATCGCACCATTGCACTCCAGCCAGGGCAACAGAGCAAGACTCCGTCTCAAAAAAAAAAAAAAAAAATCTACTTCTGCGCATAACGCTTCCTGCACAGCCTTCTCTGGCTTTCAGCGGCTCCGCTGCCTTCCCGGGAGAGACTCTGCCTCTCCCTCCGCTCCGTGGGGACACAGACGCTCGGGCTCCCCAGTGCCACCCACTCTGCAGCGCCTCCAAGCCTCGCACGTGCCGGTCCCGGACCGGGGCTACCCCACCTCCAAGCACCGTGGACACCGGTACCCCACACAAGAACGCCCCTCTCTTTGGGACACAGGGGCCTGACCTGAAGGGCCCCTCCCCGGGGCCTCAACACTCGGAGGAGGGGTCGGGGCGGGGCGCCCTGGGACGCGGCACTCACCTCAATCAGGTTCATCCGCTCGGCCTCCGCCAGCACAGCCAGGGAGGAGCGGGGCGGGAGCGGCGGCGACCTGGGAGCTGACAGAGCCCACCGGCGCCCGCAACCGATTCAGCCGAGCCTCACTCTAGCTTCTGTACAACGGGGGAAACCTTTTCTCGCGTCTTCTCGCTCTTCCACCTCAGGCTCGACTCAGCTGAAAAGGGTGAACCGGTCCTAACGCAACCATCTTCGTATCTGCACGAGGGACGTCGCAGGAAGTCCCGCCCTCACGCATTGAGAACCCATGGAGACGTCTCTCCGCTGTGACTTCATTGGCTACACTCGCTGCTTGTGTCCGCCGCAGTGTCTTCTGGGTCGTGTAGTTACCAGGCTGCTGCCTGCCCCGCCTCTGAACCTAAGTAACTAGCCTTCTGTTTGAAAGCCAGGAGGATCCTCCCGAGGCGTTGAGAAATGCAGTTCCGGGGCTCCAAGGAAGTGAGAGGGCTTCACTGGCTTTTAAACGGCAAGTAGCCAGATTGTCCCGGAAGGCGGTCTAGAAATGTCAGAGAAATGTTTCAGAGACCTGTCCTTTCGGATTCTGTAAAGCACATCAAGTTCCCAAAGGACGACACCCGAAGGAACACGGGCATCCGTAATGAACTGGTCTTCCACGCATAGCGATCAGCTCTTTTGTGCTTGGCAAGTACAGACCGAAGCTCTGGAGACCGTTTTGTGATCTTCAGTGTGTTCTGCTGAGACAAGAAAAGACCCAAACGTGGCATGATGCGGAGTTTGAGGAGAAGTATCTTTCCTTTCTGAATAATCAGTGATTGTCTTTCAGCCCATCCAGCGACGCTTTATTCACATGATACTTATTACTTCGTATCTGAGATAGTTTCCACTTATCCTAAGAAACTGAAACCTAACTGAAAAGGAAGAGCGATTTATGTACCATTATCTGCCGGGATAGTGTGTGGCCTTCTACCAGCCAAACCCCTGAGATAAAGGTTTGGGAATGCATGATCTCATCTACTTACTGGAAAGTGATTTATCACTTCATCTGAAATTGTATCAACAGTGTCTGCACAGGGAGTTAAAATCGTCTCTGAATAACTGTTATGAAATGGCTGTTACTGACACTATTAATGATGATTATGTAGTTAGCCAAAGAGTGGTTGCAGTGGGCTCTGTGGGCCAGCCACTAGACCCAGAAGAGGATGGCATCACTGCCTCATCACCATCACACCTGCTACACCAGCAGCCCAGGGATTCAAGGGTGCACTCACATGCTTGGTACACTGCTATCACAACACGCATCTAAGAGAGCCAATAAGAAGCCCAAGAATCAGCCTGCTTGGAACTGCCAACACAGGTACCAACATTCACCCCCACAAAGCACAAGGATAGACATACTTAGCTCACCACCAGTACTGCTGAAGCCTGAAGGCAAGCTCATCTGGCATTCCTGTTCCCAGCACAACTTTACCAAAACCTCCACTAATAACTAACACTGTAGGCCGGGTGCGGTGGCTCACGCCTGTAATCCCAGCACTTTGGCAGGCCGAGGCGGGTGGATCACGAGGTCAAGAGATCGAGACCATCCTGGTCAATGTGGTGAAACCCAGTCTCTACTAAAAATACAAAAATTAGCTGGGCATGGTGGTGCACGCCTGTAGTTGTAGCTACTCGGGAGGCTGAGGCAGGAGAATTGCTTGAACCCAGGAGGCGGAGGTTGCGGTGAGCCAAGATCACGCCATTGCACTCTAGCCTGGGTAACAAGAGCGAAACTCCGTCTCAATAAATAAATAAATAAATAAATAACAGTATGCACCCTGACACACTTGAGAAAACCACATGAACTGTTTATAGCCAAGGAAATCATACAAAAACTTTACTGCTGCATGCACTCAGAAGTAAAGCTAAAGTGCCCTACTCAACTAAGACCATTGACACATCTTCAAAACACCCACAAACAAAAGTAAATTCAAAAATAGAAGATAAACTATTATAGTACGCATACAAAAAAATCAATGTAAAAACACAGGAAACAGAAAAGCAAGAAACCCTGAAACTCCCCCAAAATTACAATACTTTTCCAGCCATAGATCTTAACCAAAAACCCCCCCCCAAAATTCCCACCATATCAGATAAAGAATTGAAAACATTGATTTTAAAGAAGCTCAACATGACACAAGAGAAATATGAAAACCAATGCAAATAACTCAGATAAACAATTCAGGATTTGCTTCCTGTCACGGGGGCAGCCGCCTGGGGTTGGTGGAAGGTGGGACAATGTTACAGCTCCTTTCACAATTTGCCATTTGGTGGTTTCTGGGTTATTGTCCCATGACCAAAAAGAATGACATTTTGTAAACACTAGAGAGTGAGCAAGGCAGGTGACTTTGTTGAGTGGCAGAAAAGCTCTCAACAACAGGAGGGGAACCAAAAGTGGGTAGCCCAATGTGTGGCTGGGTCCAGGGTTTTTATGGGCTCAGAATGGGGACTGCGTACTGATTGGTCCATGGGTGGGCCTGATAAAAGCACCATTCGATTGGCTAAAAGGCATTGAGAAGTTCTCACTCCAGTCATGGATGCTACTTGGAAATGGCAGCCAGTTTTCAGGCTTTAGTCTTTGGCTTAAAGTTTGGGTTTCACCAGGGACCTGTCCTTAGTCTGCCTAGGAATTTATCTGCCTCCTACCACTATCAGTGAAATAACCAATACTTTCTCCTGATAAAAGGAAATTTCTGCCATCTGCCTGCCAAAGCCAGTCCACACCTTCAGTGCAAGGCTGATGTCTACGCCCAGATCAGTCATAGGAGAGGAGGTGAGGCCCCCAAAGTGTTCAAATGACTAGTGAATTCTTCAAATAGAGAATTCATGATGCCATAACTGCATTTTAATGGGACCAAAGTGCTACACACCATGACTTTTTGCCAGTTGGTAGAAAAGAGATGACTTTTTTTTTTTTTTTTTTTTTTTTAGGCAGTCTCACTCTGTCACCAGGCACCAGGCTGGAGTACAGAGTGCGATCTCAGCTCGCTGCAACCTCCACCTCCTGAGTTCAAGCAATTCTGCCTCAGCCTCCCAAGTAGCTGGAACTACAGGCACGTGCCACCACACCCAGCTAATTTTTTTTTGTTTTTTACTAGAGGCGGGTTTCGCCATGTTGGCCTGGATGGTCTCAATCTCTTGACCTCATGATCCGCCCACCTCGGCCTCCCAAAGTGCTGGGATTACAGGTGTGAGCCACTGCGCCTGGGCAAGAAATGACTTTTTGAATAGTGTTGGCAGAGGCATAACTCTGGCAAAGGCCCCAGACAAGTTGAAAAGTGCAACACAGCTCACAAAATCTTCCCATGTATCTGGCAGTATAGATATATGGTGGATATCCCTAGTGAGGCTATTTAGATGTATGAAGTTCAATTGCTGGCTCTCTCCCTAAAAAGCTAATATCCAAAGCATTGCTCTACTGGGTTATTACGTTAACAAGAAACGATCACACTGCCTTCACTTCTTTTCCTAGAGTGAACCTGCTGGCACAGAATGAGGTTAGGCTAATGGCTAAAGACTTTCCAACATTCACTAGACTCTTAATACCTTTCTGGGTTCTTTTGATAGCAGGAAACAACCTAATGTCACTTGGATAAACAAAAAGCAGAAACATTTATTACCTATAGCTAAAAATGAGAGAACCTGGATAGGGTCCCACAGAGGGTTGCATCTGAGACAGAGTAACAGCAACCTGAGGCTGCAGGGGATAACTTAGGTAAGACAAGGGGATTGCATTGGCTATGTTTTCCATGCTCTCCATGGATGGGCTAATTTGAATAATTTCAGCTGGAATATAGCAGTCTGAAGTGTGAAAGCCCACTAGCCTTGTCCTCAAAACTGAGTCTCACACACACCTAAAATGTGTGGTACTGACATACAGACAGACATATGACCAACAGAATGGACAATCCACATATAAAGCACGCGTATATAGACAGATGATCTTGACGAGTGCCAAGACTACTCAATGAATATTTTTTTCAACAAATAGTGCTTGGAAAACTGCATGGCCACATTAGGTGGACTTCTGCCTTAAACCACATGCAAAAATGAATCCCACATAAAGATCTAAATGTAGCCAGAATCTAAATGCCAAGATGGAAGATCTAAATGTAGCCAGTGCATTACAGCTCATGCCTGTAATCCCGGCACTTTGGGAGGCCGAGGCAGGCGGATCACTTAAGGCCAGAGGTTTAAGACCAGTCTGGCCAACATGGCAAAAACCCATCTCTACTAAAAATACAAAAACTAGCCAGGTGTGGTGGCACGCATTTGTAATCCCAGCTACTCGGGAGGCTAAGGTGGGACAATGGCTTGAACCTGGGAACCTGGGAGGTGGAGACTGCAGAGTTGAGATTGCACCACTGCACTCCAACCCGGGTGACAGAGGAAGACTCTGTCTCCAAGAACAAAAACGACACAAGACCTAAATGTAAAACCTACAAACATAAAATTCTTAGAATAAAACATATGGAAAATGCTTGGCATTGGATTTGATAGTGTGTTTTTGTTTTTGATATATAACATCAAAAGCCCAGGTAACAGAGGTAAATATAGGTAAACTGGACTGCGGTCACCCCTCAGTGTCTGTGGGGGACTGATTCCAGGACCCCTGTGGATACCAACATCATCTGATGCTCAAGGGGTTCTCACGTAAAAAGGCACAGTGTTTGCATATAACCTACACACATCTTCCCATATACTTTAAATTATTTCTAGGTTATTTATGACACCGAATGCAATGTAAATGCTATGTAAATATTTATTATATGATTTAGGGAATAATGACAAGAAAAAAATGTTGGTTCATGTTTGGTACAGATGCAACTACCCTTTTTGTTTTCCGAATATTTGTGATTAATGATCAGTACAATCTGTGGATACTCCAAATGCTTTTGATCTGTGGTTGGTTTGATGCATGAATACAGAACCCAAAGACACAGAGTCAAAAGTACATCAAAATTTAAACTTTCATCAAGGGACACAATCAACAGAGCAAAAAAGCAACCTATGGACTGGGAGGTAATATGTAAAAATCATATATTTGGTAAGGAGTTAATATCCAGAATATATAAAGAATTTCTATAACTCAACAACAAAAAGCAAATAATCCCATTAAAATGAAAAAAAAAAAAAAGACTTGAATATTTTTCCAGATACACAAATGCCTAACAAGCGCATGGAAAGATGCTCAGCATCATTAGTCATTCACAAAATAAAAACGAAAGACACCGAGATTCCACCTTGCATCCAACAGGATACCTGCTATCCAAAACAAAAGGCACAGCAAAAAAACCCAATGACAGAAAGAGAAAATGAACAATGTTGGTGAGGATGTATATGGACTGGAATCCTTGTGCGCTGCTAGTGGGAAAGTAAAATACCACAGGTACTATGGAAAAAGTTTTCTCAGAAATATTAAAAATCGAAATCCTGTAAGATCCAGCAGCACCATTTTGGAGTATAAACCCAACAAGAACCCAGAGTAGAATCCTGAATAGACACTTGTATACTCATCTTCATAGCAGCATTATTTCAACAGGCGGAAGTGACCCAAGCGTCCACTAACAGATGAATGGATAAATAAAAAGACTATATACATACCATAGAATATTATTTCACCTAAAGAGGAAGGATATTCTGACACATCATACAACGTGGGTGAACCATGAAGACCTTATCCTAAGTGAAATAAGCCAGTCTCAAAAGACAAATACTGTATGAATCCACCTATATGAGGTACCAATACATATCCAATTCATAGATACAGAGTATAGAAATATAGTGGAGACATTTCTGGGGACAGTAGGAAAGGGGAATTAGTTGTTTTTAATAGGTACAGCATTTTACTTTTTTTTGCAAGAGGAAAAATGTTCTGGAGATTAGTTACATAAAAAGGTGGATTTATATAACATTATTACCCAGTTACAAAGGTCAGTGGTAAACTTTCTCCATTGTGAAATCTCTGATGTTTAATGAGGTTGGAGTTGTAGCGGAAGAATTCCCCACATTCATGGAGCACACAAGCCTCTCTTCGCTGTGGATTTTCTGGTGATGAACCAGGTGAGACTTTCTAATGAAGGCCTTCCGGCATTCGCTGCACTCATAAGGTCTTTCTCCACTGTGGATTTTCTCGTGCTCAACAAGTATATGCTTGTGGCTAAAGGCTTTCCCACACTCTCTGCACTCATAAGGCCTTTCTCCAGTGTGATTTCTCCAATGTTTAATGAGGTTGGAGTTGTAACGAAAGAACTTCCCACACTCGCTGCACTCGTAAGGCCTTTCTCCCGTGTGGACTCTCTGGTGTCTAATGAGTCTGCAGTGGTACCTAAATGATTTCCCACATTCACTGCATTTATAAGGCCTCTCTCCAGTGTGATTTCTCCAATGTTTAACGAGGCTGGAGTTGTACCTAAACAATTCCCCACATACACTGCACTCATAAGGCCTTTCTCCAGTGTGAATTCTCTGATGTCTGATGAGTGTGGAGATATACCTAAAAAACTTCCCACAATCATTGCACTTATAAGGTCTTTCTCCAGTGTGAACTCTCTGATGTTTAATGAGTGTGGAGCTGTCCATAAAGAATTTCCCACACTCCCTGCACTCATACGGCCTTTCTCCGGTGTGAACTCTCTGATGTCTAACGAATGTGGAGCTGTACCGAAAGAATTTCCCACATGTGCTGCACTCATAAGGCCTTTCTCCAGTGTGAACTCTCTGATGTCTCATGAGTCGGTAGTTGTACATAAATGATTTGCCGCATTCTCTGCACTCATAAGTCCTTTCACTAGTGTGAACTGTCTGATGTTTCACGAAATTGGCACTGTACTTAAAAAACTTCCCGCATTTGTTACATTCATAAGATCTTTCTCCCGTGTGGATTTTCTGGTGCTCAACAAGTGAGTATCTGTAGGTGAATATTTTCCCACATTCACTACATTTGTAATCATTTTGTCCAGTCTGGAAGTCTTCTCTGTCCTCTGTGTCCCTGTATGGCTTCCACTCGCTTTGAGGGGCCTGCTGCTGGAGAAGGCATGAGGTGGCTGGTAAGTCCTTCCAACCCTCCATCAATGTGAAGATCTCCTCTGCCATGTGAATTCTGTGGTTCTTCCCAAATGAAGGTATCCAATCGTCCCCTCTGGAAAGATTCTCTCCAATTTGCTGCTCTGGGCACTGAAAAAGCTCTGCCTCATAAATATATATGTCTTGCTCAGGATGAATTCCACTGTGCTCAACCAGGCACAGAGTGTCTTTCAAGGGCGGGCCACATGTCTCACTAGGGTAGACCTTCTGGGTGAACATACAGGACTCTGAAGTTGTAACCTCTGACACTCCTGCAGAAAAACCTTGCTGTGAAGGTGCCACCTCATCCTCAGCTCCATGCCAACAACCTGTCAGAATAGAAATGCTGGTGAAGTGTATGTTGACTGTGGTGGGAGGAAGCAGCTCCATCACAAATGTCTCTCAGGCACACACACACGAATAAGGCCACGGGATTGGGGACATCATGGACATTAAGGCCAGTGAGAAGAGGGTCCACTATGCAGGGCTGGGCCTGGTAAGGGCCCATAATGGGAGAGCCCTGATGACGGTAAGTATACAAGGGAGGGGTATGGAACAGAGAAAAGGCAGGATCTCAAACTCGCTCCTCTGCAAAGAGCCATGGTTGCAGGAGACTGGTAAGCAGTGTATAGGACGTTTTCTCCAAACCCAGAGATCAGACTGTGACAGGGAGCTAGTGTTTAGGGACACATGCAGACCTCACTCCACCTTAAATACAGTCACGCATTGGCAGGCATTCAAAGGGAGCAGTGGAAAAGAATGGGTGAGGGTTGATGTCGACCTGGACCCGCTGGTGAGCCGGCCAGGCCCCAAGCTGCCTGGAGCCAAGGCCTCCAACCCCTTCCTGCCAGGCAGAGGCCCAGCCGCCAGCCCCTCTGTCACCAACCCCTTCCAGCCCGCGCCCCCCGCGACGCTCACCTTGAACCAGCTCCATCTCAGTCCTGTGCCTCCTGTCGCAGGAGCGCCACCCACATAAATCTCTCCCCTCGGTGGGGGCCCCGGCCTGCCCCCATGATGCCCCCCGGATCCCCCGGCCCCCAACACTAACCCCTTCCTCCTATAATCCAGGGCAGGTGGGGGACCTGGCCCTGCCCGGCCGCCCCCATTCCGGCTCTCTGGGAGATCAGTGTTGTGAGTGCATGTGAAATGGGGGTGCACGCCCCCAGTGCCCTTCCCTGTCCTGGGGCCCACTCACACTACACCCTCTTCCCTTTCCCACCCTGCCTCCCGGGAGAGAAACTGGACATGGGGCCTGGGGAGGGAGCTAGCCAGAGGAAGACCCTTTCCCGTGGCATTAGAGGGGGAGGGGCGGCTGGGGCCCCTTATGTTCCCCTCCCTCAAATTCCCAACCCCCAGTCAGTGTTTGAGCCTCCTCGTTCCCCTCACACACCCTCGGTGAACCCTTGATGATGATTTTGGCGACTTTGGGAATAAATGGCAGTTCCCGTGGGTGAGTCCAGGTGACATCAACCCTCTTCCCAAACCCCAGGCACCCGGGCCATGTCCCTGAGCCTCTAATGCCATTGTTGAAGTAGTATCTACCCTCTCAGGCACCTAGGGCCCTCTCTAGGGGAAAGAAAGAGAAAAAGAGTAAAGAGCACATACCCGGAGAGATCAAGCCCATGGCAATCCCAAATTCTATAATCATAAGAACTTCACAGAAGAGTCCCGCCTCCTGCACAATCAACTCAGTAGTCCCTAACTTAGTGACCAAAACAGGGACTGAAATTCTTTTTTTTTTTTTTTTTGAGACGGAGTTTCACTCTTGTTACCCAGGCTGGAGTGCAATGGCGCGATCTCGGCTCACCGCAACCTCCGCCTCCTGGGTTCAGGCAATTCTCCTGCCTCAGCCTCCCGAGCAGCTGGGATTACAGGCACGCACCACCATGCCCAGCTAATTTTTGTATTTTTAGTAGAGACGGGGTTTCACCATGTTGACCAGGATGGTCTCGATCTCTTGACCTCGTGATCCACCTGCCTCGGCAGAGGAAGGCAGCAAGAAATATCAGTGAGAGAAAGGGGACAAGAGAACAGTACTCTCATGTGTTTGGACCTGAGACAGACAAGGCTGGTGCGGTCTCCATGCCAAATTCAGTATTTCTGGCTCCTGAGCCCTTTCCTGTAAGCCTCAGCGCAGTAGAGATGGGGATGCAGAGAAAAAGGAGGTATAGAACACACAGCATATATGCCAAGAAATCGGGAACAGCAGCAGCACCCATGGTCTCACTGTGGGAAACGCAGAGCTGCCTTTGGGTGAACAGGCATAACCCAACCCAACCCAACCCTGGACACTGGGCAAGGGTGAGGGCCTTACCTAGTGAGGACAGTAGGGCCAAATTCTCCAGCATCAC